AGTCTCGTTGTACGCTACAGACTGGTGATACGTCATAGTCTCATTGTACGCTACAGACTGGTGATACGTCATAGTCTCGTTGTACGCTACAGACTGGTGATACGTCAAAGTCTCGTTGTACGCTACAGACTGGTGATACGTCACAGTCTCGTTGTACGCTACAGGCTGGTGATACGCCACCGTCTCATTGTACGCTACAGTATGGTAATACGCCATAACCTCTGTGTATGCTACAAACAGGTAATTCGCCATAGTCTCGTCGTACGCTACAGACTGGTAATACGCCATAGTCTCGTTATACGTTCAGTGTGGTTGTATGTTGTATGCTACATTCTGGTTATACACCATGATCTCGTTGTACCCTAGAGCTTGGTTGTAAGTTAGATTCTGGTTGTACACTAAATTCTGGTTGTATACTACATATAAGATTTTGTCCTTAATCTCGAGGTTTAATTTTTGCAATTAGTTTTTTTAACTAGTTAATTAGTTTTATCTACCATGAACATGATGTTGTGTCGCTTAAAGTAACGTTAAAATTCTCTTATTTTGATTGATCATTCAGCACGTGTATGTCCTCGTTTTGTAACCCTGTAATTGTTAACTGATAGTCGAGCAATTTCGTTTTATTTCGACCAGATATATAAATATTTCAAAGTTTATGTTCAACATTTAATGACGTGTAAAGCATCGCTGCCATAGCTACGACGTCAAAAGAGATATAATTTCTTAAAGCCTGGTTCTCTTTGGTGTGTAATTACTCGCTGACTTAACGACAACTTCAGAACTAAGGACTAATGATGATATAATACCATCATTACGACCATTTAAACGAATATGTTGCTACCCTCATCTTCTCCCGACATTAGTGCAAAATATTACATTGAATACGGTGTTAGCAGGTCCTATATTTATCACGAACAATGGTTGTAAACATACAGTACGTAAAGTATTTATATAATAGCCATTTTCATATTCAGGTTGGTCACCCGTACATTGGATGATGTTTAACTACTTATATAATATACACTCTCATATTCAAGTTTGTGTCACCCGTGCATTGGATAGTGTTTAACTATTTATATCATATGCACTTTCATATTCAGGTTTGTGTCAATCGGTGACTTCGCGTTCATGAAAAATATTCAGTGTTAAGTAGAATACTAACTTGGCATTATTGAGTTTTTGTTGAATTTCTCGCAAAGTTACTCGAGGACTATTTGCTAATTTTGAAGACTAAAGAGAAGACAGCTAGTCAACATCACCCACCGCCAACACTTCAAATTGGCCATATATTGTAACGTCCCCACGGCTGAAAGGATGAGCATGTTTGGTGACAGGGTTCGATCCCGCTATTCGCAAACTGCCCTAAACACCAGCCCATGCTAAACTTCTTCAGTGTTTGCAGTCAAAGCGAGTTCATTTCTACGAACACTAAATTTTTATTTATACCAACAGTTCGGAGACAAGGAGATGTCGTGAGAAACACCACCCACCCCCAAACTAGTGGTGGTGGAGTTTTTTTTTCTAAATATCCCACCGACTAATTGACATAATTATTTTGTGTGTCCATGGTTCTTAAGAATCTATATGTTCTAACTATTTGAGCTATATTGAATTAGCCTGACAATCTACATCGTATAAACACTTGATACAAATTGTAAATTTGGTACAGGGTTTCCAAATTTTTTTTTGTTTCACAATTTTCGCAAAAAGCGGCACAATGGGTTACTTTCACTTTTATTGTGCAACCGTGATTCCAAAGTACGGATAAGTGCTTATGGGTTTCTGTGAGATTGGACTGTTAAAACAGGCGCTGGGAAATCGTCGTCCTCGTACTCTAGGTGGCTTATGGAAAGCAAGCAAGAAAGAATAAAGAGCTTTAGACAAGACATTTTTACAACAGAGCATTTTGCAAACGAAACTATGCAGGAGAGTTATTGTCAAGATGCATGGTTGACAGATAGGGCATGACCGGACGAGACGACAAGGACTGTAATGACGTCGTGAGGTTTCAAGATCGTTTTAACCTACTCAACCTCTGCATGTACTCAACAAAAACAATTGATTACAAAACTAAAACTAGGCTAAATAACTAATCGATGGCTGAGAACACAATAAAGATAACGTGGAAATTTATTTAACAGGACAATCTATATCTAGAACGTGCTTAACTATATAAATATAATAGTACTGTCTGTCCATGTAACTACTTCACAGGGTGTCGATGGATCTTCACCAAATTTAATATGGAGGTTCATTAGGTCCATGCATGGGTACATACAAATTTTCAGTTTTGTCTTTTGCGTTTTTTTACCATTACCTCACCTCCTGTGGATGGATCTTTACCAAATTTGGTATGAAGGTTCATTGGGTCCATTGAGATACATACAAATTTTCAGTCTTGCCTTTTGCGATTTTTACCACTACTTCGCTCCCTGTAGA